TCTCTCTCTCTCTCTCTCTCACACACACACACACACACACACACACACACACACACACACACACACACACACACACACACACACACACAGAGGCAGAGTCCCTGTTATGTCGTTCCAAATTAGGAAGACGAGAGGAACAACTTCGTACAGGCCTTCTTAGTGTCTTGAGGGCACGTTACGGAATGCCCGACTGTTCTTGGAGACGAAAAGATCTCGTAGTCGTTTCCTCCTTTGTACGTTTTGTCGCCGAAGAAATGGATTTCGGGGAATTCTTTGTCCAGGAACTGCAGGCAGTAGGTTTTGTCCCATCCGTTTGGAAACACATCGAAGCTGATCTGACCACCTATTGAATAGGTGAGATTCAAAGGTGCGAACTTCTCCTTGAGAACGCTCACCATCTTCTCGCGCACTTTATGAACCTTGTCGTACTCTTCGAAAGCGTTCCGCTCTTCGCGGCTACAGTTTCGTCCGATCGGCGATACATTGATCATTCCAGTACGGAACTCGACGAAAGTGCCTCTCTTGATGGGAATGTCTAAATCGGCAATATAATGAAGAACAAAATTAATAAGTTCCTTCAGTTGGTCATCACCAATGTGAGTTTTCAAACTCTGACTGCCAATCTGCTTCCCATCCTTAAAAGCCACCAAGCCGTTCTCAGCGAAGACGTAATCATAGTCAGTGGTCGTGTTCTTTCCTAACTGCTCACTGATCTTCACTAGGTCCGACCCTCCAACAATACCAACTTTCACAACCTTTCTCAACTCTTGGAGAAATGACAGCATGTCATCGTCGGCCTCCTTACGCGCCGGTGTCAAAGTACCGTCCACGTCGAAAAGAGCAATCACTCCGGGTCCGGCCATCTCTCTTCTCCCCCCGCCTTCCCTTCGTCGCTCTCCCACTCTTGTCCCTCGTAGCACCCCTCCTGTTGTTGATCCGTCCTCCTCTACTCGTTCGATCTAATAATCTCTGATTAAAAACTCAACACCACCCACCCACAGACAAAGTGAAGAAAACGCACATGTTTGCAACCCGGCCCGGCCGCACACACACACACACACACACACACACGAAAAGACGAAAGAAGCAAATCCAGAGACTGGCAACACAAACATACACGGAAAAAGAAAGAAGCAAAGCAAAAGATTAGCACCACACACACACCAGAGGAGCAAAAATAAAGATTTACAAAACACGCACAGAGAGAGGATTTGCAAAGATGGTTTGTGTGTCTGTGATACATGAGCAGATTCATTTGCAAACGGAACAGATTTTGGGACAAAAAAGAGATAATCAAGTCTGACCAGTTAAAGAAAGTTTCGGTTCACTTACACAAACAACAAATTTTAAGAAGAAAAGAGAAAGTCTGATGCCAAAGACTCACAACACAGACATGCAGAGAGGGTAAAAGAAAGAGGAAAAGGGGGGCAAAAAAAAAGGAGAGGTTTGCATAAAAACCATCACTTGTCTCTGTAATGCATGAGCATTTTCATTTGCGATCCTGAAGGAACAAAATTTGGCGAATCCGTCAAAATTGGAACGATATAGAGAAGATTAGTATGATCGCCCCTGCGCAAGGATGACACGCATAAATCGAGGAATGGTCCAGAGTTTAAAAGGGGAAAAAAAAGACTTCCCATAAATGAAGGGAAGTCTGACCAACAAATAAAGCTTTGACTTTGCAAAAGGAGCAAACTTTGAAAAGAACAGGCAAAGTCTGGCCATAAAGAAGAACATAAAAAGCTCAATTTCCTGACTTGACAGTACCCAAGGCCAACATCAACATGTACACGTAGGTGATGTCGACGTTTCTGCAAAACAAAAAGAATGTTCTCGGTACATACAAAATATATAGTAAACAAACAAAGCCAGTGCAGCTACGTCCGCGTAAGTGGGAAAAAAGGTTTAAGCGTATATTCTCTCTCTCTCTCTCTCTCTCTCTCTCTCTCTCTCTCTCTCTCTCNCTCTCTCTCTCTCTCTCTCTCTCTCTCTCTCTCTCTCTCTCTCTCTCTCTCTCTCTCTCTCTCTCTCTCTCTCTCTCTCTCTCTCTCTGTGGGTTCAAACTCCGACGAAACAGTTTGTCACAGCCCGTCGTCTGTTGTCCTCTTCTCCCTCCCTGCCTACGGTTTACCGGGCAGCTTTGTTAGACTATATATATATATATATACAACCGTTGATGAGTCGGTGAAACTCCGACGAAACAGTTTGTCACAGCCCCTCAATTGTTGTCCTCTTCTCCCTCTCTGCCTACGGCTTCCCGGGCAGCTCTGTTTTATATATATATATATATACATATATTACATATATATTGTCACACTGTGAATCAGAGCGCGAAGGCGAAAAAATGGAAAACAAGGAAAGGAATATTATCACACTGAATCAGAGTACGAAGGCGAAAAAAAGCAAAACAAGGAAAGGAAAAGAAGTAAGGAAGGAAAGCCCCACCTGTTCACGTGGATGACAGGTTGAGCGCTGGCTGGCCCCATCCCCGTGTGTCACAAGGACCCACTTGCACGCAGCCAAAAGGCAAAAAGAGGAGGTAAAGAAAAGGCGGAGGAAACCAAACCTCACAGAGGCAAGAGAAAGAGAAAGGTCAAAGAAAAGAACAAGGAAGAAAGCGAATGACGCATCCCACAGATAAACCAATTGCCACTGTCACTACAAAGTTCAACATATTTTTTTTCCTTTTTTCTTTTTTCTCGTTTTCTTTTTACTTTTCTCCAGAAATTTGTACTTTTTTTTTTTCTTTCTTTTATCTGTCCTACAATTAGTGTTGCTCCTGATCGCTTGATTCTATTGACCGGTCAGGAAGAGGAGCCCCCACCCCGGCAGATAGGACAGGCACGCTGAGGATGACGTGGATGTTCACAAGGATACCCAAGGAGAGCTACTTCAGCACAGCATTCAGCAGGACGGCTATCACGGACCATCCCATCAAAACAGTCCCGACAAAGGACATCCTGTCCACATGTCAAAAAAACAGCAGGACGTTCATCACAGTGCGGCATCATGCAGTCCTGATAGCGTCCTTGAGCACAAAAGGGACAACGAATATCTGGGTGATAGGGATGTGTACAATGAGGAAATGTTGGACACCCTTCGGCACAGAGGGCGGCGGCTGCAATAGATTGATAATGTTGATGGCATAGGGGATGAATTCCGCACACAGCCAAGACGCACCGCGTCCCCGTCCCGTCCCGACAGGTGTCACACGAGAGACGATCAATAATCCAGAATAAAGCATGATTCGGTAATGCACACAGAAATTCATTTACGTTCAAAATCGCCTGCATCATTGTCCCACCATCCCACAGTTCCCACTGGGCAGCTGCACGAATGAGTGCCATATAATGCCCGGGTCTGTACAAAATACAGGCAGAAATATGAGGATGGTCATTAAGTACCCCTCCCACTGGGCAGCTGCACGAATGAGTGCCTCCCTGAGTACCCCTCCCCCTATGAACATCAGCAGAGACTGCTTTTTAATGCCAATTGGGGGGACCAACGGGATATCTCTAGGTATACAACTGAAAAATATGAAATTACTCTTTTATAGTGTACTCTTTTTATTTTTTATATAGGAGTTATATACATTGAATTCATCATAGTAAGTATCTCAAGGCCGCAGCCTCTTCGCTAGCTAGCCGGTGACGTGTCAGGCATCCAATCAATATTTACCTCGTATCGAGCACACAAACGCCGCCGTCTTATCGCCGTACCTAGACCTCATTTTGGTCCAAATGCAGCTATAACGAGAGTACGTTCTATTCGGGGAAGACGGTGGCCAGCTGTCGCGCTCACGTATCAGCCAGCCGAATACGGCTTCGATCGTCAGAGCAAAACAGCATTCGAGTTCGAACTCGGGTCTGCATTCCAACAGGAGCTCAAAGGACCACCAAATTACCAAATTCGCTTTTGGCTTTTATATCCGATTCCAATCTCCACAAAGCTGACGACAACTAAAATAATAATTAAAAAAATAAAAAGGAAAAAAACGAAAAAAAGGAAAAAAAGCGACAACGACTTGTCTCTCTCATCTTGTAGTACATCTCATCTCTCCGCCTCTCCTCGACCCGCCAAATTAGCCCACGAGATTTCCCGCCAAATAGCCCTGCGCCTCTGCGTCCGCTCCTCCTCGGCCGACCACCTACCCATCCCAGTTCTCCATGTCCTCCTCGTGCACAAATACATCGAAAATCTCGAAAACTTCTGCTGTCCCCCTCTCTCGCCCCTATATAGTCATATAACATCCCCCTTATAGAACATACAGTATTATAAAACCCCAATTCATAGTCATAAACACCCCCTTATTCTAGTAAAGGGCCCCTCTCTCCTCCCTGTATTTGTCGCTAACCCCTTCGGCAACCCGCCCCTTTTTGAGTCCGAATGCACTTTGTCTAATCCTCTTCTCTTGCTTTCCGTCCTGCTCTCTCGTTCGCTCGACTCGACCCCGCGATCACACCCACTATGTAGACCAGGAAAGACCAAGAGCCAGGTCGCCCTATCTAGGCTGCTACGTACATCGCATGAATCTGGCCGGAAAACGGGTTAGGTTCTCGTTCATAATGCTCTATGTAGGCCATGTACATCGGATGAACACGGCCGGAAAACGGTTTAGGTTCCCGCTCACTTTCGCCCAAGCATTCGACCAGCGGCGCTGGCCTCTTCCCGCCAAATTAGCCCACGAGATTTCCCGCCAAATTAGCCCCCGAGATTTACCCCCAAAGTAGCCCACGAGATTTCCCGCCAAATTACCCCACGAGATTTCCCGCCAAATTTAGTCCACGAGATGTTCCTCCTGTCAATCAATAGCACTGTAATTTCAAATTACTCACGATCAAGCCTGGAACAGAGGGAGCGAGGAAGGGAGGGAGGGAGGGAGGGAGAGACGAGACGAGACGAGACGAGACGAGACGAGACGAGATGAGACGAGACGGGACGGGACGGGACGAGACGCGAGACGTACTTACCAACGTGATGACCGACCACGTGGCGCTTTTCCGGCAGCAGGTTGTGGAGACAGCTATGGAGATTGTGGAAGTGCGCACTCGAGCTGGAATGTCAAGTCACGCGGATGGGCAGCAGCCTGGCTGGCAACCGTAGGCGTAGTCCCGCACTGAGTTCAATCAGCCTTTCTAGCGCCACGTCAGCATCGTGAGTGGAGAGCGCGCCGAGCCACTCTTGTAACGAGCGTGAGGCTGAGGGTGAGCCGAGGGAGAGGAGAGAGAGGGAGAGAGTGAGAGCACACACACACACTCACTCACTCGACACGACGGACTCGGACTGAGGATCGGCCGCAGACACAGTGGCAAGGCACAAAGTCGAAGTCTTGGATTCCGAATGCCGAAACAGCAAGTCACACTGAGTACGAGTACAGCAGCAGAGAACTGGTACGAGACTGGTCCCCGTACCGTACGGGGAGCCGGTATAAGTACCGGTGGCACGTACGGTACCAGGGGCATTCCTGCAAAGGCCCCGAGGGCAGAACTGAAAAATGCAGTATTCTTTTTTTTTCTTTTTTTTTTTTTTTAATTTTTAAACGGCATCTCTTTTTCATTGCCAACAGAAAACTTAGAGGCCGGGGACCTCACAATTCGACCCGGATTACTGACAGCATCAGCCAGTTTAGCTTACAGGCCTTAGCCTGCGGAAGTCTTCTCTACCGACTTCCAGACATATAGCTCTCCTAGCCTTCTATTCTTCAACTTGGGAATAGTCTCTACAGTACCATCTGTCTCTGATTGTTGTCTTGGAAATGAACAAGCTGATTGGTTAGCACTTAAGCACCCTCGAAGCAAATGACACAGACCTTCGTACGGAAGGGAAGAGCCCAGTTTCATCTATTCCACCTAATTCTGGGACTAAAATGGCCCAGAGGACAGCGTCCTGGTCCTACTCCTACTGGCACTCTCCTATAGGCCCACAGCGGCCCTACTCAACCGAGTGCCCTGGTTGGCAAGAACAAGAACCATTCCAACTACCAAAGTCTACTTACAACCTAGCTAAAACCACAAGTAGCGGAAACACTCCTTTTCCGCCTATGGTCCCCGAGTTTCCAGGGTCCAGTCTTCAGAGATCCATGGGGCCAGTGTTAGGCCTCCTTCCCCTTGGACAGTTGCGAGCCTGTGTTGCTGGGCCCAGGTATGTGTGAACCAGCGGATTTGCCTTGTGCTGCCCATTCCAGACTTGGCTCTTCTTCTCCAATCGACTCTGATGGCTTCCCTCAGTCCTGCCTTGATCCGAAACTTGATTTCCTGGTCTGATAGAGGCCTTCCTTGGAATCTTGCTCTGTTTCTGTCAATCCCCTCCGGAAGGAAGCCCAGCAGAACCCAGCGTTCGTCCCATAATATTGATCTGTCCCCGAACTCGTCCCAGTGAGTTTTCCACCACTTCCAGATGCGTTTTGAGGCCGGGCATTCCCACCATAGATGCCTTGTGGACTCAAAAGGCCAGGAGCACCTGGAACATTTCAAGTCCACCTGCATCCGTTTGCCTAGCAGCCAGACCGCTGATGGTGTTACCATCAGCGAGAGTGTCCACAGGATACTCACTTGTTTGCCGTTTGGAAGGTACGTCAAGATCCTCCACAGCTTACCAAACTGTGTCTTTGCTGATGGTAGGTCTTCAGGTAGGACAGCTTGCCATCTGCGTGTGGCTACCTCCGSTGGAGCGGTTYTGTTCTTCAGTCTGAGTTTATAGCCCTTCGMCACCGTATAGTCTGAGATGAGAGTGACTGCTTCTCCCTGCGAAGTGGATTGCCAGCCCCATGCCAGGGGGTCGATGCTTAAGTTGCTCAAAGTAGATCTTCCAATCCAGCTTAGGCTTGACTTGGATGTCTTGGCCTTGCTCTCTACCACTCGTACCTGTTGGGGGTTGTCCCACATCTGGATGACCTTCTCCTCAATCCGAACGAGGTTGTTGTTGTAGCCACTGCACTGCCACCGCTCCACCTTCCGGAATCCGCTCGGCAGGATCTCTAGCAATTTCCAGACCACGTTTCCACCCTCCTCCTGATTCGAGAAGTTCCAAGTCCCTGGTGGGTCGAGTCCCTCCGGGCCTAGTATCTTGAGCCACTCCTCCGGAACTGAGCTGATGATAAGTTGCCGGTGATCCTCCACGTTTCTGAGGCCAGCTAGCTTAGCTTTGATTTCTGCAGTTGGGCGCCAGGTTCCCAGGATTGGTGACCACAGGTCTCCTAGTCTTACCACTCCTCTGCAAACCCAACTTTGGCCAAAGGAACCTGTAGAGCCGTCAGCTACCAGTGGGGTGCCTTGCGTGGTGCTGATTCTTGGATTGTCAAATAATATTTGCGATAAGACCTCTCCTCTGGTGCTGGGCTCTAAGCGGAACGTTGGAGGAAGGTTATGCCAGGCCCTCCTGATTTTGTTCCAAAACACAGACTTCAACTTCCTTTTGCGGAAGGAATTCATGAGCAGGCAGGCCCAGCAGTCGTCTGGTCTGCTGAGGTTCCACTCTTTTGATAGAATTTGCTCCGCCTGTTCCACCCAGTTTTCCTTGCCCGTAGCGGTGGCTATTCTGCAGATCCAATTAGCCAGTTGCGCCGCATTCTTCTGTGCTGGGTCAACCAGGCCCAGCCCGCCCTGTGAACGTGGAAAAGTCAGTAAGTCCCAAGCTACCTTGATTAAGAAACCTTCGACTTCTTTTGCTCTGGGTTTCCAAATGAATCGGGCTACCAGTCTTTTCACCGCTTTGATAACTCCTTCCGCAATCTCCCTCACAGTGCTAACGAACCATAGGATTGAGAAGAGAGCCATGTTTGCCACCAGAGCACGACCTATTAGTGACAGATGCCAAGTTGAGCCCCATGTCCTCAATCTTGCTGCAATTCTTTGCTGTAGAACAAGACCCTGCATTGTGGAGATAACCTGCAGGCTCACCAAGACTCCTAGAAATCTCTCCTCTTCCCCCTCATCTACTCTTCTCATCCCCCACTCCACTTTCAGCACGTACGGCCTTGGGAGAAGATACACCGACTTGTTCCAGTTAACTGAAGCTTCCGAAAGTGACGAGTACTCCACCATGATCTCCTTTAAAGCCCCCAGTGACTCAGTTGAGTTTTCACTAATCAAGAACAGGTCATCAGCAAGTGCTTTGACTGTGTATTTGGCCCCTGAGTGCAGCTTCAGACCTCTGACCAGGGGGCAGCTTCTCCCACGGTTGAGGAGGACCTCCATCTGGAGCACAAACAACAGGGGGGCAAGGGGGCAGCCTTGCCGAAGGGACCGCGAGAGATCAAAGGAGGATGACAAGTGCCCATTTATCATGACGGCGAACGTGGAGAGAGTGTACATCATTGTTACCCATCGGCAGAAGCAAGCGCCAAAACCCATTCTTCTCATGGTGGTGAGGACAAAGGTCCATCCGACCTTGTCGTATGCTTTTTCCAAGTCCAGCAGCAGGATGGCCGTGTCCAAGTTCTCAGTTTGTATCACCTCCAGAGCCTCGATCGCGGTTACAATGTTGTTGAAGATCGACCGACCTTGGACGAAAGCCCCCTGATCTTTCTCCACCAAGTCTGGAAGGAAGTGTCCGAGCCTCATTGCTAACGCTTTGGCTAGGATCTTGTACGAGACGTTCAGGAGGGAGATTGGGCGCCAATTCCTGACTTCAGCCTTGTCTCCCTTCTTGAACAGCATTGAGATCACCCCGTGTGTCATACCCCTTCCCAGCCTGCCTTCCTGGAGTATATCATTGTACAGATCGACCAATCTTGTGCCGAATACTGACCAATTTCTAACATAAAACTCCACTGTCAGTCCATCAACTCCCGGGGATTTCCCGTGAGCCATGGACTTGACAGTTTCCGTTAGTTCCTCCAGGGTGAGCGGTCTGTCCAAGTTCAGCCTTGCAGTTGTGTCCAGCTTTGCTGACGTGTCCTCCCACATATCCGATTGTAGCGTCAGATCCGTATTGATGTCCTCGTTTGGTCTTCTTGACGTTAAGATGTCGGCGTAGTAGAGCCTTGCATACTGCATCATGCCTGTTGCTGTGCAGGCTGGTGGGGTCGAGGCATCGAAAGGATGGTGCAGTTCAACCATTTGCTGCTGTAATCTCTGAGGTTGCAGTTTGTGGAACGTTTCCTTGGTCATCTTGTCATGTACCTCGATGCCTTTCTCCTTTAGGATTTCCGCCCAACGCTTCTGTTTGTCAATCTGCATGGAGTCCCACTCCGCTAGTCTCTTTTCCCTTTCCGTTGCCCACACCATGGCCGATATCGGGTGACCCTCCATCCGTTCCTCGGCCTCCTCTACCCTCCTCAAACATTCCGCTTCGTGAACGTTCCTGTTTTTTGGCAATATTCTAGATAAAACATTCAGGACTCCGGAGACAATAGCCAGCCCGCCATCAAGCCAGTCCGCACCAGACTCAAAATACTGCTTTGCTCCTTCCCAGCGTTCCATGTGGTCTTTTACCCAGGCGTTTACCCCAGGCTCTTCGAGTATGAGATTGTTCAACCTGAAAAAAACCCGCCCTCGCTCCACTCCGCCAAACATTCTGATTTCTGCCAACACCGGCTTGTGGTCCGATAGCGGATCACTGATACATTTCACCGAGGTAACTCCCTCCAATAGTTGTTCTCCCACCAGGAAGAAGTCTAGACGGCGTCTGGTCACTTCCTATCTGTCCCGTCTCATGTGGGATGTCCAGGTATAGCCTGCCTCATCTGGATTTAAAATCCGGAAGGGATCCACGAGAGTCAGTTCCGCTGAGAGGTCCAACAGGACTTGCACATCTTGTTTGCCAAAGGATGAAGACSCAGGTTTAAGTGCTTCGTCCAGCGATCTGTTCCAATCCCCAGCGATTATCAGTCTGTCAAGCTTGGGGATATGCARCATCAGGTTCTTGAAGAAGGTAGTTCTTGAGCCTGAGTCTGTGGGGGCATACACCGTCATGATTCCCCACTCCTCCCTACCTACTTCTAGTCTAATCCAGTCCCATCTGCCCTAGATATCTGCCTCCGAATCAACTATCCTGGCTTGTAAGTCACGGTGTACCAGGATCCCCACTCCTCCCCTGGTTCCCTGGGCCGGGGCCCAGATCTGCGGGCCTTCCCACCAGGGGCCCATTGCAGACAGTTTCTCTTCACTGAGTTTGGTCTCTTGCAGCAACAGACAGTTCACTTTCTTCTCATGAACCCAACTTTTTACCCTCCTCCGCTTTGATCTGTCGTTTGTGTCACCCAGCCCTCTGACATTCCATGACGCTATTTTCAGTCTATCCATCTACCTCTCATGACGCCGCCTAAGATTGGGTGTGGTTTTTGTTGACAACTGATCTGGATCTTGATTGATTGGATTTAGATCTTCTGCTGTTACCATCCGGCGTGTCCCGAGTGTTGCCGATTGATGAGTTCGACCGTGAGACCGTGCCCCAGTCTGCTACCAGCTTGTTTGCCAGGAAAGTGGAGTACAGGTTCTCTTCTGTTCGCAACTTCTCATTCACATTCAGTAGGATCAGGGCCGAAATGTCTGGAAGGATTTTAATGTTGTCTAGCTCTTGCAGTCCCCGCTCCCTTGCCATCCCCATCTGGTACCACCTCACTCCGGATTGTGTCAGGCTCTCCGCTGAGTCAGGCGGAATGCGGGTGTCCAGTATGGGAAAATAGAGCTTGCAGAACCCTCCTTCGGTTTCCACGATTAGCCCGATCATCGTTGATTGGGGAATCAGCCTCACCGGCACATGGTTACCGTAGCTTCTCTTCGTTGCATCTATGATCATTTGAGGAGTGGGGGAGCGGACTACTTCCTCCGATGGCATGATTGGTGCCCCCTTCGAATCTGTAAGTGTAAGGAAGTACACCCCATCATTCGCCATCGTACACAGTAGTGGAACCAGGCGTCTTTTCACTTGATTAGCTTGGCTTGCATTGATCGTGTTTGTTCTTCTTGTCTTGTCTAGACAGAGCCTGGTGCTTCCTTCGTGTTGTCTTCTGTTTTCCGATGCTGTTGAACTTTCCATAGAGGACAACTCCTGTTCGCTCCCTCCAACTGTTTTTTCCTCTCCGTACTATTCCTCCCCCCATTTCACCCGTGATTGTGAGGAGGTCGGTGTGTGGGGTAAGTCCCCACCACCCGTTACTCTCCCTTCCTCTCCTATCGGCTGCAGCCGGGGGCGCTCCCCACTCCGATCTGGTCTTTAACGAGTGGGCCCTGCTCATACCCGCCTGATTCTGTACCTCCGTTCCATATGCCGTTGTCGTGCCAGACATCCGGTTGGTTGCTTCCAAATATCCTTTCCATTCTGCTCATCCTCCCATCTTCCCATCTTCGTGAGGGAAATCGATGTCCCTGATCTGAGCCGTCTTGATGGTGTATCCAGTCCGCTGTGGGCAGATCGGTCCTATTGCCCCCGGAGGATGAGGAAGAACTCGTTCCGCTTGAGGTATGTGGTGCGGTTCCAGCTGTCTGGGAGGGCCGGCCCAGCCATCCGAGCCCATCAAGAAGTTTTCTCTCCATGCTGGCTGAAGCTGGTCAGACCGATCTGGGCGCGCTAACCGAGTGTGATGACTCGGTGGTTGCTCACGGGCTGGATGGGAACCTCCTGGCCACTCTGCCCTCAACGACCACGGAGGCATGTGTGAATGGTACGGTAACTGGTCAGGCTGCACCGCCCACTGCTGATGTGGTCCAGCGTATTCTTCGAATGGCTGCACCGCTGGTCTTGAGTAATTTGCTGAAGTGGCATAGAGTCCCCTGCTCATGTAGTTCCCTTCAGGACTTGGATTCGGCGCTGAGAGCTGTTGGCCCGGGAGTGACTCCATTGGAACCTGCTGGATGTGAGCATTTTGGCAGGGTTGCACCCGCTGAGATCCGGAAGCCGCGTGATTGGAGGTCTGTCTTTCATCTGGGACCGGTGTCGCCGCTGGTGCTGCTTGCTGGTGCCTCCCATCCATGCTCCTCTCAGTCTTGTTCTGGTTCTTCCTGTGCTGCTTGAATCTCGCCTGGTGACCGCCCGGTCTGATGCCAGGAGCTCCTCTTTGTTCTCCATCCTGCCTGTTCCGGGGGCAGTTCTCCTCTGTATGAAAGTACCATTTGCATCTCCTACACCAATCGGTATAGGGAGTTGCAATCTCTACTTTCCATTTTTCACCTTCCGGGGACTGAATAACCAGGTCATCGTCAACTTTCGATCTTGTACTCGGATGCATATCGAATTTGACATTCATTAGCTTGGGCCTTGAACTATCGTATTCCGGTGCGTGCATAGTCAAAACTTCCCCAAACATTTCTTGAACTGCACTTCGAAGAAAAAAATATGCGTCGAGAGGCACTCTCAGCGCAACAATCCAGAATTTGGATTCTGCCTCTTGTAATCTAAAATCTCGAAGCTCTCTAAGGGGCATCCATGGTTTTAAGTAAACTAAAAATTCCGTATTTTCTCTCTCTAAAGTGATCTTCATCTCTTTCTGACGGATCAGCCACTCTGCTACCTCTTTTGCTCGTGCCACATAGGACGCCACATTAGGACCCTCAAATTTAACTCTGCCCCTTTTGTTCTCATCACCAAAAAACTTTTTGGCAGTCCATCCATCCTCAAATGCCCGTATCAGATCTTCTTTCACTTGCCTTGATAGTTGGCGTGCCTCCCCCAGGAAACTAACGATAATTGTCCTTTCCTTCAGCCACATCTCCTTGATTTCGTTCACGACCTCATTCACTACAAAGCGTTTGCCTTCTTTGTCATCAACTACCGTGCCTAGATTAGCGTCCTGAGGGCAGATCCCATCCTCATAGCAACGCTCAACTGAGTCCCGAACTCTTTGGGCATCCCTAGCAGTTGCTGATGGTATCGGTGGTCTGTACGGAGGGACCCCTGGATGAGACGTCATGGCTCAGAGGAGGCCGATCTGGGGAAGAGATGACTCTGTAAGTTAATTGGTAATTAATTAATTAAATAAATAATTCATTAATTAGTACCCACCACTTCTGAGGATACCCGATCTAGGCAGCGAGGAGCGTGGGTACTCCGTGCGTGACACCGTCTTTAAGACTGCAACATATGGTGAGTGCACGACTTTGACACAGGGCGCTATCGCTCCCCACAAGGTAATCACGATTACTGCGGTGAATCTCACAGGGCCTGGCCTCTTCATGCGTGAATTCGGCCAGGAATTCGGGAAAAAGAGACACCCTGCCACTTCTTAATTCTCACTAGGCCTTAGGGAGCAGGGTGGTCCTACTGATGAACTAAGGGGACTCATGGTTTGCTATAGGTTAAGGGGGAACAAAGTTCAGGGCACAGGGAACTTCTATTGATGTTCTACTGGGCAAGGGAAACGGTGTTCAGGAAAACAGGGTATTTCTATTGATGTTGTAGTGGGTAAGGGAAACAATGGTCAGGGGAACAGGGGATGTGTATTGATGGTCTACTGGGTACGGTGAACAATGGTTAGGGAAACAGAGATCTGCTAATGATATTGTACAGGGTTGTCAAAGTCAGGAAAAATAAACATGAAAATGTTTGTTCAGGATGCAAAGGCTGGTGTGTCCGAAGGAGTCGGAAGCAGAATCTCATGTAGGGACAAAGTGTCCATGTGTCTTGAAAGGGGGTCTGCAGCGGTCTTGATCAGGTCTTTGGAGTAGGTGGTAGAAGCGGTCTTCAGCAGCTGCGATAGGTAGAAGTCCAAGAAGCGTAGTAGTAGTTCAAGTGTCGAAGTCCAAGTGCTCGGGTGCGTCCGGTACACGAACTGCAATGAGGTCTGATCTGGAAGCGAGGAAGTCGCAGACTAATGCAAAGATCCATGTCACAAGTTGCTGCTCAGGTAAGTCTGCGAGTTGGGATGTCGGCCAATGAAACAGCATGGTGGCCAAACCAGCTGCATAATCTCCATGAACAGTGAGGCAGCAGGCCATCGTCCTCGTGCGCTTGCCATTAGATCCTTTATCGCCGGTGTCACGCAAGTTCACAAGCATTGGACAAGAGAGACAAGGTAGTGGAGAGGATAGATGGGACAAGGTTAGGCGAGGGCAAGGGCAGATCAGACATCAGGAATGAGGATCAAGGGAAGGGTGGACTGGGTTCAAGGGTGTGTGTAGAGCGAGGTTGCAAGGGTTTAGCGGGGGTTTATGCCATAGTGATATAGGTATCTAGGACGTAAGATTAGCACGATCATAGGCGCGGACAAGTTTCATGGCGTTCTTAAGATTAGAGAGAGGTTCCCATGTAGATTCTTCGTCGGGGTATCCGGTCCATTTGACTTGTATTCAGTGATTGGTTCCGGATGATCAGATACCTGAGTGGTTCGTCGGTCGATGATGGTTTCGACAACGAATTCAGGGCCTGTGGGTAGCATGATTGGTGGAGGTCTACGGTATGGGCGGTCGGCGAACTGGAGTGGGGATTCATGATATTCTTTTAGGTACTCGACATGGAAGATTGGGTGGACGGTGTTCAGGTGGAGGGAGGAGTGGGAGTAGAAGGGCCGGGTCCCGTGGAGCGAGGGGCCTGTCGAGTAAAGTGGCTAGCGTTGGGGCAGTTGGTCTGTTGATGACCTAACTGGCGGCAACGAAAACACCCGTTGCGTTCCTGGAGGTATATGCGTTCTGCGGGTGTGAGTTTCTGGAGGCGGGGGGGTGGAGAGGAAGAAGGCGGTCAAGAGGCACGATCCTGGCGTTCCATCCGTATAAGGTGGGCTGTCTGGAGGTCCTCGATGGTGAATTGGGAGGGGTCGAGAGAGGCAGTGTTGAAGTCGTCATCGGAGGTGGGTTGAGTGGTGTCGTTATGGAAAAAGAGGGGGCGGGAGGGAGCGGGTGCGGACTGGTGATGGGGGTGGAGGAGTAGATCGTGGTGAAGCATGCGAGAGAGGAGGTCAGCAAGGGGCATGTCGGGTTTGTGGGCGAGGGCGGTGGCAAGATCTTCGTGGCATACTCGCTTGATGCGGGAGATGAACGCAAGGTCGGGAATGACGGTGGTGGGGAGGTGATGGCGGAGGGAGCGAATGTATTGGACGAAGCGGTCTGTGGGACCGGTTTGGTGGAGGTGGAAGAATTGTTCGAGGTAGTCGTCAATGGTTTTCTGGGGGCGGAAGGTGGCAGCGAGAAGTTTGGCCCATTGGAGGAAGGAGTGACGTGGTCCTCCAGAGGCTCGGCGGTTGCTGACTTCAGCCATCCACCATTTGGCGGCATTGCCGAGGAGGCGGGAGGTGGCAATGGGGAGCCAGTGGGCAAGGGGCATGTGGTGGAGGTGAAAAGAGTTCTGGAGCAAGGTCAGGCAGAGGATAATGTCCTCGTGGGGGAGGCCGAAGAAGGACATGATTTCGCCGGATCGGAAGGAACGGGGGATTTCCCCGTCGCGGTGAACGATCTGCGAGAGGGTGTTGAAGCTGAGGTTATCGGGGGTGGTGTCGTAGSARGTGTGGTCGATTTGGTTGTTGTCCTCAAGGAGGTGGTTGRGGGGGAGTTGTGGCATTGCGGGGTAAACCCCCGAGGTGGCTTGGGAATAGGTGGGACGGATGGTGGGGATGGTGGAGGTGGTCATGATGGGTTGGGAGAGGGTTTGGGAGTGCGGGGGGGGGAGAGAGGTGACATGGATGGGCGAGGAATGAGGCGGTGTGCTGAATGTGCCGGATGAGGGAGGAGGTGGAGGGAATGGGACAATGGTGGAGGTTAAAGGGTTGATGGATGTGGTGGTAGAGGTGGTAGGAGAGGAGGAGGTCGGCGGGGGGGTGTTGCTGGAGGCGGCTGTGGAGGAGGGAGTGGTTTGCACTGTGGAGGTGGGAGTGGTTTGCGCTGTGGAGGAGGGAGTGGTTTGCGCGGTGGTGACGACCGTGATGGAGGGGATGGTCCCTTCGATCATGGTGACGCGGTCGCATATGGACGACATGTTGGCCTTTATGTCGTCGAGAGAGGCGGTGACGAAGGTTCGGAGGGTGTTGAGTGCGTGGAGGATGGCGGAGAGGTCGAGGGTGGCGGTGTTCGCTGGTGGTTGTTCGCCTGCGAGGTTGCGGGCGATGCTATCAATTGAGTCGGTGCGGATGTCAGACATGTTGATGGAGGATGTGGCCATGTCGGGGAAAGAGAGGGTGGAGGACGTGGCCTGAACGGGTGTGGAGGATGCCGCAGCAACGGTGACGGCGGCAGTAGCGGCGGCGTCGGCGGCGACACGTTCTGAGTTATTGGTTTGGCGTGGTGGCATGTGGAGGGTGGGGGGAGAATCCCTTATTTATTTATCAATAAAATCAAAAATAAAGATAATCGCCATTTTTTTCAAAAAACAAACGCTGAACAGAAGAGATAATTAATTTTGAAAAAAATAAATTCTGATTTAGATTTAAATTTATTTACAAGAAAACGTGAAATTTCGAAAGGAAATATTTTCGAATTACGGGGAAAAAAATTCTGAAAAGAATTAGGAAGAGGAAAATTTTAAAATATTTGGGAAGGAAATGTCAACATTTCAAAAAAATGATAATTAATTTCGAATAAAGAGATAAATTCAGTCGTGAATTAATTGAATTTAATCGAAATTAATTGAGGGGTTTAGAATAACATTTTTTTAAAAAAGTACTTCCGAATTGTAAGAAAAATTTCGAATTTCAACAAAAATTGCAAAAATAAATTGTGAATTTAAAATACTAGAAAAAATCATTAATTAGAATTATTTTTGAATTTCCAAAAGAAATATCAAAAAAAGAATTTAATTAATTTTAACGTATTTTTAAACTTTTCAAAAAAATAAAAATAAAAAATTAAGTAGAAATATTAAAAAAAAAGAAATGTTGAAAAAGAAATGTCGAAAAAGAGTTAAATTAATTTAAAAATATTTTTGAATTATAAAATTTCGAAAAAGAATGAATTAAATTTGTTTTCAAATTTCGAAGAATAAATGCCGAGAAAGAAATGATTAAATCCTATGTATTTCGAAATTTTCGAATAAGAGAATACGTTTGAGAAAGAAATGAGTTTTTTTTTTTTTTGAATGTACAAAAAAAAAAGAATTTAAAATGGATTATAGAATTGAATAAAATGAATTTTGATGTGAATTGAGGGCGGGGCGATCCTATCTACTATTGATTGGG